TATGTATGTATGTATGTATATGTGTATATATATATATATATATATAGACTGATGACTAATTATCTTGCTAAAATAAGTTTTGTAGCCTTATCTATGACCTTCGGGTATTATTAATATTCATGATAATTGAGCAATAGTTCTGAATATTAAGAATACTATTGAGGTACTATTTACTTTTGAGGTAATATTTACTCAGCTTTAAAGAGTCAGATAAATGGAGACTAATGCACCATTGGCATGGGACTTTACTTTACAAACCTCTTGTCAAGTTAAATATGGCACTCTTTTATATACATACAAGCAGAGCAGACCTCACACATACAACCATCTCCAAACAGCAATTCACATAACGTACAAATATTGAGCACTTATGGCAGTTCAAAAGAGTTACTATTATTATATCTTTTCTGGACTGTGTATTGCATTTTGAGAGATCCGTAGCTCACTGATCTGTCTCTTGAGCTGAACAATTTCCTGTTCTTGTTCATCAATCTTGCGTTTCATACTGTGAACAACCTAAAATAAAGAATACAAACAAAGTTAAATGATCAAAAAAAAAATTCTCAAAGCAGCTAAAGTAACTAAAATGTGATTATACATGAACATTTGGTTTTTGTTCCATGTTGGGGGTAAAAAAAAAACATTAGAGCCACACATACCATGTCATTGGTGCTGAAGAGGTCACTCTGAAGTAACTGAGATGCACTTGGTCGCATTGAAGGATCAGTGCTGGTCAATAGGGTGATATACTTGGCCAAAAGTGGCCAGTTTTTGGGCAGCATGTTAGGGATCTTGCCCTGCCGTAGTTCTCCAAGTGTGTGCACACGCTCCATCTCGGTCCCAAATGGCTGGAATAACTCAAATGCAATCACTCCTATACTGTACAGATCTGACTGTACAAATGAAACAAACACTGAGCATATGTGCCTAAGATGCAACAGCCACACACTGAAGTACAGCCCAAAAAACAGTAGACTACATTATAACAGTTTGTAACTTTACAGTTTCCTTACCTTTGAATCATAGTGAGAACCCTCAAGTTGTTCTGGGGCAGCGTAAACAAAAGTTCCTACTCCACTAGTGTGAGCTGAGTCTAGTGTAAAAAGTGCAACGAGAAATCTTCAAGTATTTTCTTTAAAATTTTCAATGCGTGTTCAGAGTCAATTGACTCACAAGGATCTGTGGATCAATGTACTGGTTAAAAAATGCTAAAATAATCCAACAATACAATTATATGCTGTGACTGAATGTTAAAAAAATTGTGATTGTATGTCCAAAAAATTCTGGAGATCAGCTTTTCTTGTCTTTCCTGTTCAGCCAATGAGTCATCCAACGCAAAAACAGGAAAAGGGTGTATATAAAGTGACTTCTATATTTATTATATAAATGTTATATAAAGGAAGGGAATCTGAGCAATTTATAAGACATACTTCCAAAAAATACCTATTTAATGGCATTTAAAGAAAGAAGTGCAAACTCCTATGTAAACTCATATGAATAAAATGATCTTACCTACTGACATCAAGAGTCCCTCTGTGATCCTTGAGTTTCTTTCCTGTATCCAGTCTTTCAAAGATCGCTCACACAGCTGCATTTGTATATAAAGCATCAAGTGGAACTGAACCTATAGACGGGAACAAGAAAAACTGATGAAAAACAAAACATTACAAAATAATTATTTATCATTTAAATAAATTGTTACATTCAGGGTTTCATGAACCACATACCTCGTGTGCCTGCGTTTCAGACCATTCAGGAGCATCCGTATCAATGGAAGAGTTATTGTTCAATTCCAGTCTGTTTTGACTGAGGTCATCCTCTGAGAGTGTTGAGCTGTCCCATTTAGCTGCGGGGCATTTGTTCACTGTAGCACGAGGCTTTCCCAGAAACACACATGGAACAAAGTTTTGTGGGTTGTGGACATTTTTTGGGCAAACAGCATGTCCCATCTCTTCTTTTAAAGTTGAGGGTTTCACTGAGAGGCTCTCTAATGCAACCTGATTTTCTTTGGCTTCTGCTTGTTCAGAATGTTCAAAAACAATGGATGATCCATTGCTGCTGTTAGTGTTTTCCTGTGTGCACCTGAAGCAAGACACATTTTTATATGCTATTGTGAACATGTTACAATTAGTTAATTGTGTTGGGAAAAAAATGTCCAAATCATCTTACCCATCTTTCTGTAAAGGTTTCTCTAATGCTGGAAATGTTTGTGAAACAAGGGATTTTGGATCTAGTGAGTAAAACAGAAAACTACATGCTTGTATCATTTTTTTATGCTCCAGAAAATACTGAATAAAAGCAAAGCATGATTCAAATGGATATATCTGCACATCAATACAGCTACTTACTTTTCACTGCAGGCTGAACATGCTCCATCCATGCTGTGTGATATCCAACAATATTGGGATGCTGAAGGCTGGAGAGCACTTTAACCTCTCTAAGAACCTGCAAGGAGATAAAAACAGACGCAATAAGGTATATTATCTTCAAATCATATAGATTTGGTGGGTAAATTGCTACTATAATAACTGAATCTGTGACATACTTTACCTTCATGCAGTCATCTCTTGTTACTTTCTTGATGAGAATTTTTTTCACTGCATATTCCTGACCATCGAGCTTGTTTGTGACCTAAAACAGTGTTACTGTTTTCAGTATGCACCTTTCAAAGTCAAGTGTTTAGTATATTTGGAGTACGATATGATCATAACATCTTCTTACCTTAAACACTTTGCCATAGGATCCTTTACCCAGTGTTGCAGTTTCTTCAAATTCACTAAGGTAACGGGATGTCTGTGCTTGGAAAAGACCATCTTTGGTTCTAGAATAGATAAGTATATCTCAGTTATTTTAAATGTTAATGTACTGTACACTACCATTCAAAAGTTTTGGGTCAGTAAGACTTTTATTCAGCATATTTATACATGCATTAAGTTGATCAAAAGTGACAGTAAAAACATTAATGATGTTACAAATGATCATTTCTATTTTAAATAAATGCTGTTCTTTTGAACTTTAAATTAATAATTAAACAAGAATCAAAATTTACACAAACATATTAAGAAGCACATTTGATTTTTTTTAACATTGATATATTTTTTGAGCACCCAATCAGCATATTAGAATGATTTCTAAAGGATCGTGTGATATTGAAGACTAGAGTAATGGCTGCTGAAAACAGGATTAAATTACATTTTAAAACATATTAATGTACAAATAAATGCAGCCTTTGTGACTATAAGAGATTCTTTCATAAACATTAAAAAATCAGATCCCATTTGACCCAAAGCCTTTGAACAGTACTGTATTACAAAATAATGTAAGTGGAGCTGCTACAAGTGTAAAAGTTTTCACCTTAGGTTCTGGCCTTCTGTACTGAAGTATCTATGTTCCTGCAGAATCCAAAAGATAAACAGGTCTTTTTTTTTCGTTTTTGTTCATGAAAGCAACAGCTGGATAGAACTCATTAAAAAAAATGAAATCGATGATGAATTCTGTTGGATTACCTGGGGGAAGAGTGATGAGCTGGTCGCATGCAGGAGCTCTGTGAATGCCCGGTTATGCTGTAGTCTGACCGTACTAAACTCCTCACTGATAGCCAGTGGAGACAGGAGGCTCATGGCAGCTAAACGCTGGCCTATCACTGAAACAGAAGGTATTCAAGAAAACAAAATTTACAGTTTTTCTGAATTGCTAAAACACATTTCTTGAAACCATCACTCAGTTTCTCAAAACCTTAAACACAAATCCAAATGTGTGTGTGTGTGTGTGTAGGAGGACTTCATCTACGTTGCAGGCAGGCAATGGGGAAAAAAAACCCTCTGATGTGGTGGATGCAGCCTTGACAAGACAGCACGTCTACCACAGGCCTGTTCTTCCACCCTAACGTAGTAGTCTTACAATTCTACACAAGATTCTCTTCCACTCTTCTTTTGTTGTTCTTTTGAACTTTCCAACTGATTATGGTAGCCACAGAGAATCTGCTCAAATTAGGTTGAACTCTTTGTGCTCCCTCTGTCATTCCTTGCAAAAGAACATGGTCTACAGTAGCTCTAATTTCATCTGAAAAAACTGTTCTTAATCTTGCTCTTCCTCGTCCATCTCTCCCTTCACCTCATATACGCACTCTTCCTCTACCTCTCAGATTAAAACAAGTGTGAACAATTTTGAATTATTGTGTGTAAATGATGACAGCTGTGTTGCAGTTGTGCTTCAAGGGGTCCTATTATGCTCTTTTACAAAGTCTTGATTTAGTTTTGGGGGTGTACTAGAACATGCTTTCATGCTTGGTGGTTCAAAAAACGCATTATTTTTCACATAATTTACATTATTACAATACCTTTCTCCCCAGCCTGGCACAAACAGCTCGATTAGTTCCTGGTTTGATGAAGGCCCGCCTTCCGAAAGACGAAATGTGATGTGATTGGTTAGCTGTCCCAGTGCGTTGTGATTGGCAAACAGCTTAGATGGTGTTTCAGTACTGCCCCGCCCCTTGCCAAAGCAGCAAGTTCTGTCTGCTCCGGTATAGTTAAGGATGGCATCAATATTGCCATATAGGGATGGGCGATACCACTTATTTTGTTTTCGATACGATACGATATTTTTCAAGGCAGTATCGTCGACATCGATACCGATTCGATACTTCTGAACTAAACTTTTAAATTATGAAATGTATTAAATTATTAAATTACTAAGAGTAAAATAGATAATGATAAGCACTTAACTTTATGTTTAAAACACATTTTAACATTCAATACGCCTTAATTGTAACTTATTAGGTTATATTTTTGTTTACACATGGTTCAAATATGTTTTTTGTTTACACATGATTCAAATCTATAAATACTACAGTTGAACTATGGTCACTTTAGTAAAACCATGGTTCATTTTCATAAGGGACTGCCAGTGACCGGCTGTTGCATGCATAAAATGCAACCTTTTTATTCTGACAGTGTATGATTTCTATTAACATTACAGAATAGAACATGATCAATATTATCTTTCAAC